GATAAAGAAGATGGGAAGGAGGGGCAGCTGAGGATGGATTCAACTGAGAGTGAAAGATTCCGGAGCCAAGACAATATATCAAGGAAGTCTTTTAGTTTACGAATGTAAAATTAAAATGATAAATGAAAAAAATATCCTTTAGATGTGAATGCTGTTAAGTGGCCCAAACACTCTTCACTTATAGGATCACAGGCCTCCGTGGCACGTGGAGGGTTTGGTCGTAAACTTTCAGGTACTTGCTCCACTCTATACAGTGCACTCCGAGCTCTGAGAATGGTTGCTCCCCAGATTTTATCTTTTGTAATAGCTTGAAATGTTTTAGCCACTGGGCCATGATCTAGTTCCCAGGCTGTAGAACTGCTTCCAATATCTCAGAGTACTGATGCTGAGAATAAACTTCACCCCTCATCTATTCCATTGTTGTCATTCCACATGAGGAACCAGGCTTACAGAGAACATTGATATGCACTTATTTCTTTATTTTACCCAACTTGATTCTACATTAGCTGTGCCCCCTACTTTCTGGTGGGTTCTGTTTCCATTCTCATTTGACTCTATGTGTTTTTAATCCCCCATCCCAGGCTTCTCCAATGACTCCCTGCTTCTACCAAGGTGCATTGTTCCATCTCCATGTATTTGCATGTTTTCTATACTTTCTGTTACTGTTGATTTCGTGTCTTACTCAGTCATGGTCCCGATAAGAAGAAAGAAATGATTTCAGTATTTCATGTAGGTAAGATTTTCTTTAAGGCCTAAAATATGTTGTATGTTGGAGAAAGCTCTGTGTTCTGATGGGAAGTGTTTGTATTCTGCAGCTATTGGATGAAATACTCCATAAAGGTCTATTAAATTCATTAAATCTATACTGACATCCAACTTTGATGGATCTCTGTTGATTTTGTACCTGGAAGATCAATCTATTTGTGAGAATGATCACATGAAATTGCCCACTATCAGTGTATTTGTATCACTATGTTTTGACCTAGTACTTTATGTCTGTGGTGCTTGTCATGTAAATGTGAGTTCTCTAAAGTTCATTACATATATATTTATAATTGCTGTCATTTTTTGTTGCATTGCTTCCTTTAGCAATAGACAGTGACTCTCTTTGTCTCTAGCAAGAAATTTTCACTTGAAATCAGTTTTGTCAGATATGAATATAGCTAATTCTTTTTGCTTTTGGATTCCATTTCACTGGAATGTCATTCTCTTTCATTTTCACTGATATATGTCTATGCCACTAATGTGGATTTCCTGCATATGACAAAGATGTATCTTGTTTTTTCTATCCAGTCTTAAGTATGCATTTTAAATTGGACAACTCAAGTATTTACACTCAAGGTTATGACAATAAATTGTGCAGTTCTTGTCATTTTACTGTTTTTCTTCTGGTTGTTTTGAATGACCATGTTGGCTTATTTCTCCATTATACATTGTATAAGATTCATGGGTTACTGAATTAGTCATATTTGATTCTTTCCTATTTTTATTGCTTTGGTACTGTTCTAGAAAGTTTTATTCCTTCTTGGATCTCATGACTGTATTTATCTTTCTCCTCTTCTTTTTGAATGATTCTTTCAAGCATCTTATGTAATGATGTTGTAGTGGTCAAGAATTCCTTTGTTTATATTTATCTTGGAAGTCTTTATTCTCATTCAGTTATTTTGTTGTTGTTGTTGAGACAGGGTTTCACTATGCAGTTCAGGCTGGTGTGACTTGCTATGTAGCCCAGGCTCACCTCAGACTCACAGCGATCTTCCTGCCTCAGCCACCCAAATGCTGGGATTGCAGATGTGCACCACCACAGCAAAAGGGAACCGGAGGAGAAGCAAAGAAAGAAAGCAGGGAGGGAGAAGCAAGGGGGAGAGAAAAGAAGAGGAAAGACAGAAAGAAAGTGACAAATTTAGGATCCATTTTTTAGTTTTTCTGGCCAAAATATGCCTGAGCTCTTAAGTCACTCTTATCCTGAAAGGACGAAGAACACAACAAATATGGAGCTCCAGGTTCCAACCTGTACCTGGGCTGCACAGCAGAAGACTGGGCCAGAACCTGCTCTATGGGAATCCTGTGATGTCCAACATTCAGCTGCGTCAGAAGGGCTCTCTCTGAGTGAAGTGTACAGAAAATAACTAATAGAAATTATCCTTCCCACACCTATTTTGAGGGAAAAGGAGGGCTCTAAACACATTGGGAATGAAGAGATAAAATAACAAACAAGATTTCCTTCAACGTAATGGGTGCAGACCAAGACGCCCAAAGCTTTATACTCCAACAACATCTGCATTAGAGAGAATGAGAACTTCCAACCTTGAAATGGGCTGAAGAGAGCCTCGTGGGGGAGGTGCCCACTTGAAAACCTTCCTGGGGAAGGGCACCACCATGCAAATTGCTCAAGAACGCTTACAAATACTATTTTAAGGGCCATAGACTACAAAGTCAGAGATTCTTGGTATTAAAAATCAAATAGATAAAGTGAGTATGAGTGAAAATATCAGCGAGCAAAGGGCTCTTCCCTGACTTCTGATATGGTACTTATGAAAGGATATTGAGGAAATGAATAATAAGCTTGATATTATGTAAAAAGTGAAGGAAACTAAAGAAAAAATAAAACACTAAGCAGCTGTATAAAATGGACATCTCAGTATATTTCATACACACTGTAAATCATTCAACTCATCTTTAGAGTCAAGCCACAAATACCATTGATGAGTCGATTTGTGTTTTGATATTTTATTTAATCAGTGTAATATCTTTTATTTTGCTTTCAGGAGATTACATGCTACAATTATGTTCTAGGTATATACTATTAAAATAAACTCTTACAATCTGATGTAAGTCTCACCGAAGATGCTGGGATACTTTACTATAACACAGCTAATTTGATCAATATTGCATGCCTATTGTCTGGTTATATGTGCAACCATTTTGAAGATGACATTATGTAATATAACAACCACTGTTAATATCCTATCATCATGTCTTGAAATTCTGTATCACTTTCACTGTTTTCTATGCTGTGTTGTTTATGTATTTGTTTTTGGTATTTTGGTTTTTTTTAATGAAAAACAAAATTTATATGTACAGATAAGGATAGCTGGAATAGGTGTATTGCTGATGTCTGTGGTTTATTGAGAGGAACAGGCAATGCTTAAAATTTTCTTTTTTCTTGACCAATTTTGCATACTTGAATTTGGTAATCAGAATGACTGATCTGAAAACAACAATATGCAATAAAATAACCATTGTTGAACTCCTACCATCTTACATGGTGAAACTCTTCATCATTTCCAATTTTTTTAAATTATTACTTGTTACTGTCTTTGATTGTTTCATCAATCTTACATTCTTATAGCTGGTGGACTGACCAACTTTGTTAAAGATAATAGTGTGTAATGTAGCAAACATTGTTAATTCTTATCATTTTGTTTTGATGTCATGTATCATTTTTGTTGTCTTTGTGTTGTTTTGATTTTGTCTTCATTGTTGTCATTTTTTTAATTTTTTAAATAAAAAATTGCTAAGAAAAAAAACAAAAACACAGCCAAATTGCATGTGGTTTGCAAACTTCCTAATTTCCAAGGACAAGAACATGAAAGGTGACGAAATGCGCCCCAGGCTGATGCTAACAAGTCGGGGTCTCCGCTCCATCTTTGTTAAATTTTAGAACTTTGTTTCTGACTGCTCCAATGAACTGAAATTTATTTTCTTTCATTTCATTTACTACTGCTGATTCACGTGAGACAGGCAAAGACTAGTGCCTTAAAAGTCCAGACTAGATCAATAAATGAAATTTTCAACCTCTTGAAGTGTTTAGAAAGAACACACTCTCAGAAGATAAAGTCACCCACAAGATATAGTGTACACCTATAAGCCCAGCATGCTGGGGGCTAAGGCAGGAGGATAGAAAGTTGGAGCCCAACCAGGGCAATTTAACAACACAGAGAGACCATGTCTCAAAATCAAAGAAATAAGAACTGGTGATGTAGCTCAGTGTGAATGTCCTAGGTTTAATCCCCAACACACACACACACACAAGAGCGCGCGCGCACACACACACACACACACACACACACATAGAGATGATCAGCACATCTAGAGAGTCTTTTATTTATAATAAAAGTATATATTACAGAATGGTTATTTAGTTATTTTTCTACAAACACACTTTCCAAAATGGAGAAGAGATACACTGCAACTCTTAGGTTGTCATAAAAAATATCACAAACTTAGAGACTGATGATAACACGGATTTATTCTCTCGCAGCTTTGGAAGAACTCTCAAAATGAACCCCTTTTCATAGTGACCACCTTAGACAAAGCGCAGGGTGATGCCAATCACTGGCTCAGATTACCCTGAGACATTAAAAGACCAGATTCAATCGTGATATCTAATACTTAGAGTAACTCTTTAAACTATGGACTATGACTGTCCAATATCTATTATAAGAAAGAGTAGATATGAAATGGATGATTTATGATCACTCAGAAAAGAGTAGCATGAAATTATTCCTCATTTATTTTGTATAAAACCAAGAGCAAACTTTCCTTAAGAAAGTTTTTGATAAACCTGAGGGGCTGTCATATATATCATATATATATCATAAATATATATATCGTGATACACAACGTATCTACATGGAGATAGGCATGACCAGATATTCACCAATTTCAAAATCTACTTACCAGAAATTTCATATCCATTATAAGGCACAGTTTTTTTTTTTCTTTCCCTCTTGCCTTGAATAGAGTTGTTCGTCTCCAGCTGCAAGACAGATTTTTTTCTCTGTACCATATTCTTTTGATTTTAATGCTCTTATGTTATTTACTTTCAAGGTCAAGGAAAACATTATTTCTAATCTTGTTTCTGAATGGTGAGAGTTCTCCTGGTCACAGCAGAAGCGCTTCACTGCACTGCTACATGCTGTGAAGGGTAGAAAATGCTAAGAATGAGGAGTCATGAAGTGAGAATTGCTTCTTTCTCTTCCAGGAGGCTAGGAGGCATGAGACTGCCCCTCCCAGAGACAGATCTGGACACACACCCAAATCCTAGGGACTCTAGTCCTGTCTTGGATGGGCGGGGCCATGAGTACTATGTCCCTGCTGCAGACCCAGATTTTCCAAGGGATCCTCGGACCCACTGCTGCAGGCAGCATGGATGGAGCTCTACTGCTTTTCCTCCAAACACAGAGGATATTTTATACCACGGGGCTCACGTGAGAAGCCTCCGCCACACTCGTCACTCTTTCCGCACCACCGCACCCACCGGGGAATTTGTATTTTGTCCCCCAGGGAGGACCTTCCCAAGCACGTGTGAGATAAAAGCTGGCTCTAACTTTGCCTTCACTGATCAGGATTCTTCAGTTCAATTTCTCGAAATGAGGCTCCCTCTTCAGCTCCTGGGGCTGCTACTGGTCTGGATCACCGGTAAGGACACAGGGAGATGAAGAAGGGCATGTGGTGAGACTGTTAGTTCCGGGGTCCCATGGCTGCTGGTGTGAGTTCTGTGCATATGTGAGATGTACAGTGTTGTCACAAAGGACAGGTGAGTGAGATGAGATCAGTGAGTGAAGAAATTTCTAAAAGGAGTCAGGACCTGGCCTCTCATGAGGACTGCCACCAAGAAAGAGAGAGATGGTCAGATGAATTCTAGAGGGTTCCCCGTCAATAGAAATATTGGGAGCCATCTCAAAATTGAAGTTTTTTCATTGCTTATTAAAATAATATAATAATTAACTTGATAATTACAAAAAAGAGAACACTACGAAAATGGCTTATGATGTCTGTTCATGATTTCACACTTCTCATTCATCATTTTAGGATCCACAGGAGATGTCGTGATGACCCAGACCCCACTCTCTCTGTCCATCAGTCCTGGAGAGCCGGCCTCCATCTCCTGCAGGTCCAGTCAGAGCCTCCTACATAGCGATGGAAACACCTATTTGAATTGGCTTGTGCACAAACCAGGCCAGGCTCCAAGGGGCATGATTTATCTGGTTTCCAACCGGATTTCTGGCTTCTCAGACAGGTTCAGTGGCAGTGGGTCAGGGACAGACTTCACACTGAAAATCAGCAGGGTGGAGGCTGAGGACGTCGGAGTTTATTACTGTTGGCAAGGTATACATGCTCCTCACACAGTGACACAGCCCCAAACACAAGCCTCCCTGGCTGGGGAGGCCCAGCTGCAGCCTTGATTTGCTTGTCGGGGGAGCAGCACAGCACAGTCTGTTCTGTGTGAGAGGAAGAAGATGAAGAGCTCAGAACAAGCTGCAGTGGCGGCCTCTGCCCAGGACAGAGAGTGAGGAAGACAACAGAGCAACAAGGACCCGTGCTCTTGTGAGAACCCTGAACAGGGAAGGAATGATGTAGCTGACTTCCAGAGGTTCCTTTGTACCTCACAAATTCCCTGCTTCTCTGAAATTACATAAATACAAATCACAGACGCACAAAAATGAATCTGCCTGAAATGTCTACATGAACATAGTTTACACTTTATACTTAATCTCGCACATCTCTGTTATCATGTCAGGATCCAGTGGGAATGTGGAGATGTCAGGATCCAGTGGGAATGTCTGGAGTGTCCAGACAGGACACTCAGCCTGTCTGGCACCTCTGGAGATCTGGCCCCATCTCAGGAGGAAGCACAGACTTGAAGAGATCACTTCTGGGCTTCCAACAGGGCCAGACGCCAAGGCATGGCTCAGGAGGTAGTAGTGCCTCACGCAGAGCTCTGCGTCTTTCTTGGCTCCATGATGGGTACAGATCCCAGCCTAAAGAAATTTAGGTCATCTCACGTCTTTCTGATTGACCCCGCAGGGAATGGACCACCTTACAAAGTGTGACTCTTCCATTATCATACAAAAAGGATGAACAGAGATGAGGTGAACTCAGTCTCATTTGCTGACAGGAATATTCTTCAATCCACTAATATGAATACAGTGGAAAGGGGCTAAGAGAATTCTCAGAAAAGTCCATACAGCAATTATAAGAAATAGGACAAGTACTATGAGGCCAAATTCACCTTTATTCTCCATTATTACTTCTCAAGACATAGTAAAATTTTTGCTCCACCAAAACCTTAGTTTCTAAGCTTCCACACACAAACAAGAGCCAAAACCTAATAGTTCTAGGATTAAACATTGTGCTCCCCACCTACCTCCCACCCTGACAACTGCAGGTAAATTTCAGGAGTCTACGTTTCTTCCTTTTTGTGAAAATTCTCTAAGACTACCAACTTGACTAAAGTTAAATTCAGGAGGAAAGAAAATGAAGGCTTTCATTACAGGCAGAATCGATAGTTACTATACTATTGTTGGCTTGAGGGCAGCTTACATAATAAATATTAAAAAGTCCTGTGAACCTGCTGTGAGACTTCCGTCTGGGTGAGTATGTGCTTACCCTTTCAGGGCTCTTGGCCTGATGCTGGATGTGGTGAAATGTGGGAAGTTTCTAGTCGTGTTTTAAAATCAGAACAAAGAAGTTATCTGAGTATTGTACATGAAACAGGAGAGACATAAAATCTAATAATACTCCCACACATTTGACTTGAGGCACCAAAAGAGCTTGTAATGATGGATTCTTAGACAGGAAGGCAGGCAGACTCAATACCAGGCAGCAGGTGAGACTGAGGACTAAGCGTGTAGCACACTGGAATTTTGAGATGGCAATTGACCTCCTATGTACAATGTCCCTGAGGCAGATGCAGGTGTAAATTTAGGGGTAGAAGGTGACGTCACCAAGCAACGATGAAGGCAGACTGGGCCCCACAGGTAACCCACAACTCTGAAGTCAAGATATGTGAAGAAAGCAGCACTGGATTCTAAGAGGAGAAGCTGCCAGGTTGGAGAGAGGATGAGGGAGGCAGATTTCAGAGCTAAAACAATGTTTCAACAGTGACTTTTTAGTTCTCAAATGTAAAATTAAAATGTTATACACTGAGCATGGGCTGCCCCCTACCGGTCGTTCTCATGCACTGCAAATTCCCAGGAAGATTGTCTCTCAGATTTCTTCTTCCAGTTATATTGAAGTATTTTATCCACTGTTGTGTGATCTAGTTTAATGACTACAGAAGCGCATGCAGTGTCTCAGAGTATTGAGGTTCTGGACAACTTGATGCCTCACGTGTACCATTATTCCCACTCTATTTGCTGGAAGCAGGCTCCCAGGGAACATTGTGGAGCAAGGCCATTGGCTTTCTCCATCAAGCTCCATTCCCAGTGCTTTTCTCCTCATTTAAACCGAGCTTCATACTCACCCCATCCTCAGGCAGTTACAGCACACCTTCTCGATGTTATAGCAACTCTACTGTCTTGTGCGCTGATATTACAAGCTTAGGATTCTGCTCTCAACCTATCCACTGACTGCAAGTAGTGACAAAAAAAAAAAAAAAAAACTGCACAACAAAAGACACAGATTCAAATAATCAAATATACAACAGTCCCTACTGACACTCCTTTGTCCAAATTTGATCCTATTTTGCTTAAAAAGCTGACTTTTTTATATAGGGGTTTTTCTTGCTTTGATTTTGATATTTTCAATATCCTATTGAGATATTATGTACCTGTACTAATGAGTATGGGCACTCCTCCTTAAATTTTGCACCCAAGGCTAGTACCTCACTCGCCTCACCCTAGACTGGCCCAAGTATTAAGAACACCAAGAGGAGGAGCAATTTTTACCTACCTTAGACCCATGTCTTTGCTCTGAAGAGGAAACTGACCCGTGAGCAGCACAAACCATATGGGAAGATGCAGGGTTCCAGCTACAGCCAGTAGTGAGAAACTCTCACCGTTCAAGTCTCTTCCCTCTATGTCCAGCTTCCTCAGGAAAAGAAGACCCAGTCTCTGATCAGGAGCCAGAGTCATCCGGGGACAAAATTCAAGCTTAACGTGAAAAGAGATGTGGCACCTGCGTGGGTGGTGAGGAGACAACAGGTCTCGAGGGGAAGAAGAGATCAAACATGGGCCCCAGGCAAGAAGAAGAGGCTGGGTATGAAACCCAGTTAGGCAGTAGGGAGGGAACACAACAGATCACATTGTAACCAGTTGGAGAACTCAAGAAAATCCCAATTCAGGAGTAAGGGGTAGTTCAACAGTACAGTACCTGCTAAGCATGTGTGAGACCCTGGATTATATCCCCATCACAGCAAAATAAAATAAAACAAAACAAATCCCATGTGCATCCTCAACTAGACAAGTCTCTTCTGAATCCTTCAATGCATCGGGAGTTTTCAAAGTTCTCCATGAGATTCCAAATACAGTAGCCTAGGATGGGAACCACATTGGGAAACTAAGGACCATGACAATAAGCTTCCAAGTGCATTGAGATACTTTCAAACAGTTCAGTGAGGAGATTAATTATGTTTGCTTTATGATCTGGATTTTTTTAAGATTACCCTGTTTACTGCGTGAAGCCAAATAATGTCAAAAACCCATTGCTCACCAACCACTTATCTGTAAATTTGTTTCCAGTGTAACTGGGTCCAACTAACAAAATTAGCACTTCTAAGAACTCATCTCAATATTAAATCGTTCATATATGCTATTTTACTTATCACAACTTTCTAATAGAGATAATTATTTTCATGATATAAAGGAGAAATTTAGGCTCAAGGAAAATTCAGTAATTTCCCTAAGGTTACATAATTGATAAGATGCAGAGGCAAGATTCTACTCCTCTTTCTGAGTTGATTCCCCATCAACCATAACATGCTTCTTCCAACTAAGGAGAAAAGTGTCATCATCCACCATGTTGGATTGTTAGGCTTCCAGTTGCTAATTAAGACATCACATATTGATGACCTTAGCATGACTCCATTCCTCTCACAAACAGCATCAAAATATTCATGAGCCTGCAAGTTTAAGGTGAGCCCTTGACGCTGGCTGAACCACCAGGGCTGACTCCTAGAAGGTCACTGTATAGCCACTGGGCCCCAGGCCATATGCAATTCTCATCATCTGATGGTCTCTGTACATAGTCTATTTTTACAAGAAAAAGTCATATAAGCTCTGTTTATGTATTTTCTAGTGCATTCTTGTTTAGAATATTACCCAACTCACTGCTTATCAGCTCCTATGCAATTACCCAAGACAGAAATTAGCTCCAACTTTTACATTAGGAAAATCTTTAGCCACACTTAGGAACCGGATATGAAACATGTAACTTAATCCTTTCTCCTTTTGTTTTCCAGGAATCTCACAGCTAGATTTTATATTCTAACACAAATTATTTATCTTTTTAGGTGAGGCTCAGTAGGATACATTTTACATACAATAAAAATTATTTTCAGTACATATTTCTATGACTTTTGGCTATTTCATAGCTATGTATCAGCAATCATAATCAAGACATAAAACAGATCCAACTCCCTTGACAGTTCCTAAGCATCTTTGTAGGCATCTTTATGTCCCCCTTCCTTCACCCCAGATAGACCTGAACCACAGTGTTGCTTGCACCTGGATGAAGGCCCCATGTTCCAGATACACAATGTGCATGTTTCTTGTGAGGTGGGACATCACAAAACTGCTCAAATTGATCTTCTGATCTTACTCATAAGTAAAGTGAGTTTTCTTATTTCTTATGGAATTTGTATTCATTACATTTGAGTATAATGAGCTTTTCATACTGGTGACCAAATCCTGAGAAAACAAAGGAGGGAAGATTTATGTTGGCTCAAGGTCTTAGAAGTTTCTGTCCGTGGTCATCCACCCACATGGCTTTCTGCCTGAACTTTGACAGAAACGTCATGGCAGAAGGACACGGTACCAGGAAGCTACTCACCTCGTGGCATCAGGAAGGAGTGTAAGAGAGCCAGAGAAGAAAGGGCCATGAAATTAGCAGGGATAAAATGTGCTTTTCGGATAAGTATCCTATAACTTTGTGGAAGTCAAGGGGAGAAGTAGACAAAGTTATACTTCTTATAATGAATATAAAATTCATGGTAAGTATGTTTTTAAAATTTGTGAATAAACTGTCATACTTATCTCCACACAGGTTTGTGTATCAAATTATACACATTTAAGTGTGAATTCTGATAAACTACTTGCATGTAAATGTATGTATCCATATGTAAATGTGTAGATTTGTATATATACCTGCATATACAGCACATTAATAAA